AATCCTTTACGGTTGACCTGTTTTTCTTTTGTGTGTATACATCACAAGTGTTTTTATAATTTTTTTTCGCTATTCAGCTAGTTAATTAGCTAATTTTTCTCGTGATTTTTTTTCACAAACATCGGAGGAGTTTTTTTTTTATATTAGAGATCCCGTTCTTGCGAACGCGGAATGAGCAGAAGTAGATCAGGAATCTGGAGGAAAAGCAGGTGAGAGAGAAGCCTCCCTTACGTAACGCCGCCCCCCGCTTACAACCCGAGGAGTTCACGAGTGGCCTCTCACCTCTCGGGTTATTAGCCGGCCTCTAGTTTCACGCGAAGGGCGTATTATGCACGAAGTAACTTTGAAAATTCCACAACGAAAAATCTCATCTAAGCACACGAGTCTATCGACTATCCCGGATACGGAGTAAAAAGCGCGTTAACGACGCCGTCTAATGACCTGACGCCGTAGTGACAGCTCGCCCTGTGACAGATACACAGGGGGGGTGTATAACAGCGCGTCGGCTCCTCTCTGACCTCCCCCTTTTGGCACATAACAAACGATAGTTTGATGTAGTAAATGACGCAAGGGTGAGACAATGACGCTATCTCGGAAGAATGATGACGGCCCCGCGCGTATAGCCGCCGCGACGCCCGCCGACCGCCGCCCCCTCCGCGAAGCGCCCTTCGATTCCGACGCCGGGTAACGCCGAACCGATTTGTCTTATCTATTTCAATATTCTATTTGGAGACTTTTCTAGTTTATCCTAAGATCGTTTCGAATAGTCCTCGTTCTGTTCTAAATCATTTTTTGGACTGTTCTAAAATTGCCTTGAACTGTTTCTAATGGTCTCAGTCAGTTACAAAATGGGTCTAAATGATTCTGAACAATTCTTAATGGTTTTGAACAGTTCTAAGATTGTCCGGAACTATTTTAATTGGTCCCAATCATTTCCAAAATGGTCTCAAATGATTCCGAGCAATTCTAATTGTTTTTGAATAGTTCTAAATGGTTTTGAACAGTTTTAAATGGCTCTAAGATTGTCCTGAACTATTTTAAATGGGGCTAGTTAGTTACCACTACGACTATTAAGGCTTTAATAGGCTTTGGAAGTTGAATCAAGCTAATTAGAATACTTCTAAACGGCTTAATGCAATTCCAAATACCAACTTTAGCATATTATGATCTCGTTACCTTTCGAGTAGCCCTTCACGCTGCGTGTATACAGTTCCCTATCCGAACGATCTGGGCGTCGTGACGCGTCGTGTGACGCTATATAGTCGACGATCGTCGTCGTCGTCGTCGTCGTCCTGGGTCCGGAGATAATTGAATTTCACGTTCATCGCTCGTCATTGTACGGCCGAGAATACATTCTAATGATGCGGCGCCTAATGAGATCTACAAATATGATTTTTACGCAAACCTTATTAAACCTTAGGGCCCTTTACACGGCCACCGGCGCTACGGTTTGCGCGCTTAATGACGTTATTAAATCATGTGTAGCGGGCGGGCGGGCGACTCGACGAGCGCGAATCTATGGCGATAATTTCCTAATGCAGGGTCGCACCAATTTTTCAAAAAAAAAATTAATTTACTAAATAAAACACAAAAAAATTATTATAATCTTGATGTAGATGATAATACTACTTGTACACTTTTATTGTAGTACACGATTTTAAATATAACGTTGGTTGTATATACATAAATATCCTGTTATTGTTGATTCGAGTATATTACAATATTTTTTCTATCACCTAATTTTTTTTGTGTTTATTTTTTAATCGAATCCCGCGCGCTACTGCGAGTTGGAAAAAGAGCTACAAAACGCGATTGTCGTTCGCTCTGTTCTTAAATATATATTTGCGTATGTCATTAGGTGGGATTCTGCCCCATTAGAGAGTCTTCTATTCGCGAAGTGCCTCGCGTTTTTTTTTAATTGAGATGTTTTTAACGAATCCCTATAACCGTATAAAAGTACGGAAAAAAAAATAACCGGGATGAACATCTCGCTTAATTTACTAGCTGGCGTTTAATTGGCGCATCGGAATGCTTTCAATTAACGGGCACGTACCCCCGTAAATTCGGAATTAAATCAATTATATAACCCTAATTGTAAGTAACGGGAAGAATATGCGACAAAAATTACCCGCGTCTCATTCGATTACCGCACCGAAAACAGAAGTTAAGTATTCGCAAATTGATTGGGTATATCCCCCGCGGCCACCAGAACAGCCCCTAATAGAGCGAGCGAGCGAGGCTCGGGGGGTAGGCGCTTTCGCAGAAAGGAAAACAGATAGGATAGATCGGGCGAGAGAGCATATGCTATTTAATATAATTGAATTCACAATGATGCGTGGGGTGGCGGATTCGATAAAGGGATTACTGTCAAATCAAATCGCATTAAAACCAAGTGCAACATTAGATCGGATGCGCCGTATATACGCGGGCCGCCGGTGAGCGGCGCGACGCCGCCCCCCCGATCGGGTCTAATCCCCGACCAGTCTATTACAGATATGCGGATTGCGTTCTTTATTTCATTAATAAAAAAAAAATCGAAACGCGCGGCCGCCTTTCTCGCACGCTTCTCGTTTCATCCGACTAGAAAATATGTTTATATCTTTTGTTAAAGTGTATACTGTCTATTTTTTAATCGTGGATAAAGTATATAGCGTTCTATGCGTAAATGTGGTAGAAATAGTACACACATAAAAATTTGTATTTGAATTAATGCAGTCATATTTAAACCAAATAAATGATTTGTTCCCATATAATGAAACAAATCATGTATTTCAATTAAGAATTCGAATTATTTAATAAAAAAAAAGATCATTGTTTTGATCATAGACTGAGAAACTCTTAATTTAAGAAAAACTAACATTCTTTTTTCAAGAAAATTAAGGTATTTGAATATTCAAACAAGTAAATGTTTTGTTAGTTAAACAAATCATTTTCTCAAAAAGAGAAATCAACATGCTTAATGCAAGAATCTGATAGTCTCATCAAAAAATTATCATATTACTGTTGAGTATAATCTTTGTTTGAATCAATGTATAGTATTTCTTAAATTAAATCAATCATTTTTTATTGAAAATGGTTCATTTCTTGATTTTAGAATCGTTATGCTTAAATGAAGCATTTGGTTTCCTTTACTCAAAGTATTATCTTATTATTTTTGAGCTCACTATTGATTTGAACCTATTTTATTGTCATTTTACTGTAGTTTGATTTAAGTATATTTATTTGAAGAAAATACGACGATTGCTTAACATTTTAAATAAATACAAATTTTTGAAATCAGAATACTTTTTTTAGTGTGTATAGTATTTTTTACATGAAATTTCGGCTACAAATAAATATAGTCCATTCACTGAACTTACGGGGGTTTGTTTCGGATTATTTATTGCTATAATAATTTTAAATGATCAGGTTCTCTTAGAATTCGGATCAAATTGTACGATTTTATTCATAATTATTCTGACCAAGAAACAGGTAAAATTTGGAGGTACAGCAAAGTTCAGAGAATGGACTATACACTATAATCCACATAGGTGGAATATATTGCGTGCGAATCATCCACTACTATAGTAGTAGCGTTGCGTTTATACGTAATTAATTCTGGAAGTATATTACATTAAACGATCGTTTGTTAGCCGGGGCGATAATGTTCATCCAAAATAAACACACAGAGGGTATCATTTTTCCATTGAATTATGGCATTTTTGTTGTCAGTATAAATAATACGGAATGTGCACGATCCGATTTTACACGCACGTACGTCATTTGCGTTAAGTGACACTTCATTAATTCGTGAATTATGTGAAGATTGTAAATATACAGGGATCGTTTGTAATCTACTAATATACGGGGTATTTTTCATTCGTATACCATTTCGCTAGTTTAAATAGAATATTTTTTATTATGTAAAAATTTAATTAAAGAATATTTGTAGATATATATTAATCGAAGGCGAGCGCCCCTTTAATGCACAGCATCTGAAGCATATATACATAGCGAGGCGAGCAAGGCATTTAATTTTCCACTATACAATCCTTGCATTTCGAAATGTGTATCCAGAAGCATGAGCAGCGTCGTCGTTTTCTCGAAAACGAAAACACAAAACGATAACAAAACGTTTCGGTCGCATTGTCGTTTTCCATTGTGGCCTAATTATCGCTGAAACTGAAATTGTGTCTCTTCTACTACTCCCGCTATAAGCAACTGGTTGCAAATAAAATTATATAAAGAGACCTCGTAAATCAATACCGATTTTAGTGGAAATTTAAACGCGATTTTCCATACGCGCCCCGCTTCCTCGGCGAGGTGTTTGCATTATTATTTAGTACAGGCAAATTTATGCTATGATTTTTCACAATCACACAAAACATTTCTTTTTTCTTGAGAGAACTATGAACATCATAAATATTATTTTTTTTATACTCAAGATAAAACGTAATACTGCATGCAAAATACGACTGATCCAAAATTTTTATCTTGTGCAATATAGGATAGCAATGTTTATTTTAAACAAGCTTCAAGAAGATCTCCTGATAGCAAACAGAGTAGATATATTTTCTATTAATTATTTGAATTTATTGAGTGATATGTGTTTATTGGACTGTACTATTAGATTCGATATTATTCCGGATTCTTTCCGTCTTTCCATCGAATGATATCTGGCATCTTTATGCAAAGCAGTTTCCGATAATGACTGCACGCAGCGACATTTTTATTATTTATGAAGCGGTATCGCATCGTCTACATCGAATCGAGTTCGATAATTTTACGACTCATTACATTTTTTTCCCCCGTCGAGAGTCTCCCCCCGTCGAGGCGTCGCGACGCTATTATAGCATAAGTTAGGAAAATAATAAAATGATCGAGATCCGGGCTAATTTTTTATTCACTCTGTCGCGAAAATTCGAGCGCGTTTTCCGGGGAGCGATTTAAAATATTTATTTATTAAGGGACGTCGATTTGCTAATGGAGTGGAATTCGGAATTGATGGAAATTCGGATTGAATGGTAAGTCCACTCTGTATGCGGATCGGCGTATATCCTAACCCGAAAATTCGAATTAGACGAGGCGAGAGCGAGGCGACGGCGCTCGGTTGGGACAGGGACGGGAATCGGACGGCGCGCAGCAGGGAAGAGAAGAGGCGGAAAAGCGGAGAGAATGGAGAATGGAGAAGAGAGAGTCGACGAGTGGAGAGTCGGGATATTGGCTTCGGTTACGTGAGCGCCTTTCCAATCGTTTTTCTTTCGTTTCACAGCCACTCCGATGTCGTATTACTTCTGTTTCCAGCTTACGGCGGTGAAATATTAAATATCCCGGACCCCGGGGTTTTAGGGCCCCTTCGATATGGACCGTAATACTCCTTTTTCCATACGATATTTGCCTTCTTAAAACTATGATTGAAAATTTTACATGTCGTTAATATAACGTTCCAAAAATTTGTCAAATGATGAACAAACTTTTACTAATAAAAGTTTTATAAATGGCACATTGATGAACAAAAACTGTAAATGTAACAAGATAATTTAAAATGCAGTAATTATTATTAGAAATTGTCGCACTCTGACTACAAACTCAATTTCCTTCGCAAGCTCAAAATATCCATCAATAATATATCCTTAAAACTACAAAAAAAATCCCCTTTTCTAAACTTCCACTGTACATCTACTGCTATCAAATAAACTTTCGAACACGTACGAATATAAAAAAAATCGGAATCCATCTCTGGTGTCCAATCTCGGGTCCAACTCATGAACTCGCGCTTTTACAAATACCCTTTTCTTTTTTGTGCTTTTCCTTCCTCCGCCGGTTCGGTCGTCAGCTTCCATTTTAATCACCAGTTTCGAGCTACACGGGCTATACTGTTGCCTTCCCGGCGAATATATACGCGACACCACCGCCCTCTCTCTTTCCCCAACATTTCTACGTAATTAGCTTTTTTCCTTCTCCCAATGGCAACCGATTAGAATTCATGGAAAATGACGGAATAATCACGTTTTTGGGTGATTTTTACGCACCGATGGTTTGATAAATAACGCTACAAACTTTGGTATAATTGAGCAAGAAAGGTAGAATTATTATGAAAAAAAAGCTCTTTTTTGGGTGGTACTTTACCCATTATCCCTTACCGAAAATTCACCGGAGTATAATAGAGAGCAGAGAGTGTAGAGTGTAGACTGTAAATTGTAGAGAGTAAAGAGTAAGTATACAGTGTATAAAATTTAGATAAATTGGTTGTGTTCCGCGTCCAAAAATCCCACCCTAATACCATTCGACTGCGATAAATGATGTAGGTTTCGCGAGAATTTACCCGAGATAATAATGCCGAATCCAAACAATTTTATCCCCGAAATCTTGACAAATCCGAAAGAATCGCCGGCGTAAATCCGAATTGTAAACTGCATGTAATCCGGGGGTACGACCCCCCCTTTTTTTTAAGCCATCGCTCTTCACGAAAACCCGCAAAGGCTCGCCTCAGTGGCGTTAACATCAAGAATACTCGACACTGTACAGTTAATACCGCGAATAAGTGCATACCTACATCAAAGCGTTTTCGAATTATTTCTTTCCAAATGGAATGGAAATGGAATTTTATTTGCGTAAAAGTACTTAAGTAACCCTAGAAGTGACTCGAGTTACTCGTTACAAATCCTCGAATAGAAATGTTACCTAATCTATAAACAGTGTAGGAAAATTGTTATTTTTAACACTTTCACTGCCGCTAAAAATTTGCCGTACGGCCTTTTTCTTCGCGTATACACCGAGGGGCGCTTATCGCCCGATCTCCCCGTATACGCGTACGTATGGAGATTGAAGCCCTTATGATACGAGCTTTATTTTAAAGTTCGGGCTCGAAAGTGGACTTTGAAATATTACGGACGTTGATAATGACGGTCCCGGGGGGTGAAGAAATCGAAGGGGTGTGTCGAGAAGGTATTGAAAATGTGTCTATGCGTGTGCGTGTTGTGCACACTTCGAAAAAATCTACTCGAATGGGTCATCGAACTGTTTAGTATATCATTTTGCGAGGTATAGAGTCGAAAAAAAATGTATATGAATGATACAATGGTAAAAAATAAATTAGAATAATTAATTGCTTGGTGTTTGACGGGGCCGGTTCGAGCGGGACGAACGACGAAAAAAACATTTCGCAATTTTCCTAAAAGCTTGCACCGAGACCTCTCGTTTTTGCGTCTGTAGCTCCGTTAACATTTCCAGGGGTAATTTCGAGTGAAATAAACGCCGTGCTATAATGGATAATGCGGTCTCGTGTCCGATGGTTTCGGATTATCAGACACACACACACACTACAAAAAATGTTACAGAATATTACGTTGGCAATTTTGTTACCTACGTAATATTATGTAATTTTTAAATACGGTATATATACTGTAAAAAATTCTCTTAATATATTCTGGATACACAATTTATACGGTTAAATTACAGAATATATAATGTAATGCATTACATTTTTATGTAAAGTCTCGAATTCCGGTGTAATTTTACAATGTAATTTCAGTATTACCTGTCTAGTTCTGTAATTTTACAGTCTTACATGATAGGCTATGTATTATAGTTATTTACATAATTTATTTAGTAAAACATACATAATAAATTAAGGAAAATTACAGAATTTTTTTTCAGTGCACACACGCCGCTTTGTATGCGAAAATTTCGAGCGGTTAGCTACTTCAGTTTATTAGAAAATGCGCCGCAAAACGCGAGACATCGAACCCCCATCGAGTTCGATACCAAATGCAGTTATTTTTTTCGATGTTTAGTAATAACGAGCCGGCGAAGTAACCGAGATAAAACGTAAAAATGTAAAAATGTATAGGGTTTTGTGCTCACCCATTTTTTAAAACATTACTCCACCGCAATGCCTTAATATAGTTCAGGCAAATTGGTCGTGAGATTGGTAAATTTCTACAAAATATCAAAGTCTCGATGAATTTGGGAAAAAATTGTTTTGGATTTTATTTTTTTACGCGAAAATGGTGCGTTGTACGAAAGTAAGTCATCGGACCGAATTTGCTCCAAAATAAATGAGGAATTTAAAAATAATTTTAGTTTTTAGAAAAAGCAGTGGCGTACCATTTTTTCTTCAAACATATACAGTTCAACTCCCGTACGGACGTCACTGGTAAAAATTTTGAAAAATCTTTCTCCTCAAAAAATGCTCTTTAATACTTAAAAAGTGTATACAAAATTTCATAAAAAATTTCTAGAGTAATACACTGAACCAAAAAAGTACGTGCAGATAATGAAAAAATCCATTAATCCAAGAAATTTTTACATTGAAAGTCGTCCAATAAACGATTTCATTAAATCAATGAACGTTTGTTCATTAAGTGATGAAGAGGTACATTAAGTGATGTACAATTCGTTGATACAATGAAATGAAAATCATTGTTTCGATGAATTAAAATTGCTGTCCCAATAAAGAATTACATTAATTCAATGTAATATTTTACATTGGTTTAATGAACGGTGTACACTGATTCAACAAATTTTAGATATTTTCTAATAAATGTAGTACATTGATTCAATGAAATGCTTTCATAGAATCAATGAAATTTAGATTTTGGTTTAATGAATTTCTTTTATTGAATTAAGGAATTTTAGCTTTTGGATTAATAAACGCAGTACTTACATTGAATAAGAAATAATAATAAAATTATGATAGAAAAGTTTTTTTCCCAAAATTTTAACACCCTGTAGCTCGAAAACTAAGACATTTAGGACGTATATTGATATGAACTTTCCATCTTAAAACCATCCAAATATTCACATCCTGAAGTATCGACCCTCAATTAATTACCACCCTGCATAGGATACTGAAAAAAAAAACATACATATAGACCTCATCTAAACTACTTCCATTCCTTCGAACAAAATCGACCGTACTATAACCCGTACTTAGGTATACACCTCAGAATTCCCTCGTACATACCACCGCCCTCCGCCCTCCCTTATCCGTCGGCCATGCGGACGCATTTTTTTCCACCTATCCCCTCTCGATCGCACGGCGGAGCGGAATTTTCGGTATGTCAAAGACTCGCCGAACTGTCAATCACTGCAGCCACCCCGCTGTCTAATATCGCCCCATCGGGGGCCCCGTCGCCCCGCCGGTCCCGCGCCCGCCCCGGGTCCGCTCCGAACACCTGGTCCTCGTAAAAGATCAACCACCGGTCGGGTCGGTATGACCTGTGTGTGTGTGCGTATGCATGCTTACCTATGCGCTCTCCTTTATCCTTCGGGTTCCTTTTGTCCTGCGGAGCGTACAATTTTTTTTTTTTATAATCTCCACGCAACTCAGATTCGTACCGATTATTTTTTTTTCGTGCGGCGGTGGTGAAAAAAAATTATAATTTATAATCAACGTGCGATTGGTATCTTTAGAAAAATGCAAGTACTCAGGTACCTACTTGGAACCATCTCCAAATGTCGCACAAAAAAAGTTATTATTGTTTAAAGTTAAAGTTCTGATTGATTAGTTGATTAATAATCACACCTTGTATTATACATAATTACGTTCATTGAGTAGTCGAAAATCCAGCACAACTATAGCAAGATAATAAGTCTTTTATCGCAACAATAATGGAACCCCCAACATTTCATTCTAATGTAGATAATAATGTTATAAAAGCATTAAACCATTGTCCCGTGGATTGTGCACTTGATTCAAAGACACGAATAATAAAGTTAAACAGGTAGACCTCACCGTTTTCGCCGCTTTTATTCTTATTATACTATCACTGCATATAATGCAAGGTGTTATAGTGTACATTGAGACACTCTCCTGCATTCAATATAAATACAACAACGGGAAAAAAAGCGTTCAATGCACGAAGCTTTTAGAGGTTTGGTTTTTGTTATCGAAAAACACGAAAAATTAGAGGCGCGTGTCTATAAAAATTTGTGCATTAAATATTTAGTGTGTAGAAGATAATTCGAAGCAAATATTGTTGGTACTTGTAGGAAAACGGTCCATTCTTAACCCGCTCAATTCTGAGGCATTGAGGCTCGATTTGAATGGAGCCGCTCCGGCTCCAACTTGTTGCGTTGAATTTTGAGAAAGGCCGCGCGCTTTCTCGCATTTCGCATGATAGATGTGTGCACTTTTGCATAATAAACCCGGGGTGGTATTCCGAGAAAGGGCGAATTTGCCATCTCAAACATTTACAATAACGCGATGACTTATACCTTCTCGATGTTATTGCGATTCGGGTTTTTTTTTCTATCGCGGATAAATTTAACGATTTTTCCGTCGGTACGAAATCGAAATCCGCAAGTGGGCGAAAGAAAAAAATTATGGGAATTCTTGGAAAAATAATTATCCCACCCCATGGGCAATAAGCAGCTTTACGAGGGTGCGGGTGCAACTACCTGGATTAACCGGGATTGAATTCCATATAATAGGGGTTAAAATACCTTTCCAAATAGAAGAAAAAAAAAACGTCGGTACGTACCGAAAATCCGTACCTACGAATGATATAGTTTAGAACCCAATGGCGTAGATGCATAGAGCACAAATAAGTACGCAAAAAAATTAAATATTTTCATATTATCTACTACAATTACAAACCCCCTCAAACACGACTATTTCTTGTACCTATATTAAAATTAAATAATGATAAGTGCGTTAATTATATTTACTAATTCGCTCGGTGCGCCACTGGCGGACACTGAAATCTCAACGACAAAAGAACGACGGGGGGGCCAAGCTCCTAGTTTTTACTCACGAAAACTGAATGGACGAACTCGAGCTATTTTTTTCGCCCATTGTGATGGGTTCCCAACGAGGTATTAGATATACCCGGAGCAGTTTTAAATTTCTAGGTGAACTGACACGCCTCGCTGTCATTCATTTAATGACGTTTTGTGAATAAAACCGCCGAAAAAAAAATGTCCTTCGTTCGACAGAATCGGAAGAATGGCTGTTTTCATTGACTTTTCGGTATATTAATGCGTGTGAATGGACACCTCGAAATTCATTCTTAAATTTTTTGACTTTTTACGAGTAAGAAATAGGAACTTTTTATTAAGTTATCACGTATAGTTCATCCAATAATTCACCTCGTGACGAATTTACATATACATCGTCTCACCTCCTCCACCTTCAAATAGAGTGCAACTAATAAACCGAATCGTTTTATTAGAAATCAACTTTAGCACCCCTTTTCGATAGTGTATGAGGGGTTTATTCCGGCGTATTTACCAGCAAATATTTTTCAATTAGAAATTCTCTCTCGGATCCGTCGCGCAGGTAAATGCCCTTTGCACTTATTTAATTGTAATCCGGCGACGAAGAAAAAAAATATGTAAGGGACGCCGACGCCCTAAAAATCGTCGAATCAGTAGCGCTAAGCCCGCAATATTTGACGCATCGAACCGTCGGGAGTACGTGTATTATAGGCCTATATAGGCGAGGATTGATATTGGAATTCCTGGGCCGGCTACGCGCGGGGCTCTCTCTCTCGAGCAATAATTAAACGTCACCCTTCGCGGCCTACTGCTGCGTCGGAAGGACCCCCGTCGGGTCCGTACAGGATGGAATTTGCCCGGCCGTATTTGGGGCGAGAGGGAGCGCGCCGAAAAAATTCACCCGATGGGAAATTTTAACTAGCTTTTGATGAGGTGCTGCGATTGAATGAGTTAAGCGCTCGGTATGGTATATTCAGGTGAATATATGCGCAAACGGTTTGCGATTTATTAGTTAAGGGTCGGGGCGTTGTTGAGTTATTGGTATTGGTTCAAGTTGAAAATTTGTTGTTGAATTGTTAGGTGTGTTTATCTAAGTAGTGCAATTGAGGAATCCTGGGAGAAGAAGTGTCGAGGCGTTACATCAAAATCAACTATTACTGCAGGATCAATAGGATAATTAAGGAGTAAATGGAAGGGCTTAAAGGAAACAATTACTTAATAATGTACTGAAGACTTGTGGGGAAGAAGAATTAGCTATATGAAGAATCATCTAAAATGAATCAACTAATAGAAAAATTAACAACAGAGGAATCAACTGTAAAAGAATCAATTAGGGAGGGATCAACTAGAAGAATCCATTATAAAAGATTCAACTGTAGAAGAATCTACTGAAGAAGAATCTACTGAAGAAGAATCTACTGAAGAAGAATCTACTATAGAAGAATCTACTGTAGAAGAATCTACTATAGAAGAATCTACTGTAGAAAAATCTACTGTAGAAAAATCTACTGTAGAAAAATCTACTGTAGAAAAATCTACTGTAGAAAAATCTACTGTAGAAAAATCTACTGTAGAAAAATCTACTGTAGAAAAATCTACTGTAGAAAAATCTACTGTAGAAAAATCTACTGTAGAAAAATCTACTGTAGAAAAATCTACTGTAGAAAAATCTACTGTAGAAAAATCTACTGTAGAAGAATCTACTGTAAAAGAATCTATTGTAGAAGAATCTACTATAGAAGAATCTACTGTAGAAGAATTTACCGGTGGAAGAATCTACTGATGGAAGAATCTACTGATGGAAGAATCTACTGATGGAAGAATCTACTGATGGAAGAATCTACTGATGGAAGAATCTACTGATGGAAGAATCTACTGATGGAAGAATCTACTGATGGAAGAATCTACTGATGGAAGAATCTACTGGTGGAAGAATCTACTGGTGGAAGAATCTACTGGTGGAAGAATCTCCTGGTAGAAGAATCTACTTTAAAAGAATCTAATATAAAAGAGTTTACAGTGGAGGAATCAATTATAAGAGATGCAAATATAGATGAAGCAACAACGGATCTACTTTTGAAATAACTTTAGCTAAAGTTTGAACAGTAGTTACAAAACTGCAAATCAAAGCTTATAACGCTTATTATTATTATTAACATTAGTCGATCAGAAGTACGAGGAGATTGAGTAAAATGACTCCCCGCAACATTTTCTTCTCGCAATAGGCGTATCGCCATGCGAGAGCGTATTTGCATCAGTTGATTTTCTTCACCGATGGGCGCCCTCGCGTACACAGGTCGTTATACCTCCTTTTATCTCAACCATCGTACGATATACAAAAACCGTCGAGACTTGTCATCGGCGCGTATGCACTCGACGATTCGCAACGCCGCCCTTTCACCATTTACGAGAACCGCTCTTCGAGAAAATAAACTCCAATTTTCGAGCTATGCGCCGCGGTTATTCCGCACGAAAATTACATCTAATGATATCGCGGCAACTGACAGATAGACGGGCGTCACTCGCGCGAGCCGCTTCGGTAACGTGTAATTTCTTTATTACGGTAAATGCATCAGAAAATGCACCATAATTCAGCATCAGATATACAATATAATAATAAACAGTTTTGTTGTGGTGCGAGCGCCTTGACTGTATGTGAGAATATGCAACGAGCTACCTTACTATTACAATGGAAAATATGGAATATTAGACAAAAAAATAATTTATTAGAAAGTTGAATAAAATTGTTTTAAAAAAATTGCTCTATAACCCCGCGGGGGTTATATATTCTCGAAACGTTTAAATACCCTTCGTGGAACCTAGAATCGTGTTATGGTACTTTAACACCATCGATTGGTTCCAGCTCGGGCTTAAAATTCGCTCGTAAATCAAATTATATTTCGGCATTAGACGTTTTTACGTTCACGGTTCCCTAATAAAAACTTTTTGTTCCGAGTAAAAATTAAACGATCGCGCTTATGCAAAGACTGCGTCACCGAGAAAAACTACTAAAATTTTAGAACCTTCGCTCTAACAATAATGGTAATAATAAATAATCCGGTTTTTGTGTCGAAACGCCGCGATAACAGGTTATTTTTCTATTAATTTTTATTGTGTATTTTCGTTTGGAAAAATTGCAATAATTGACTATTGTTTTCCATAGTATTAGTGCTCTATTATTTAGTGATTTTCCTCATTAAAATTGGAAATTTTCTTCTACCGAGAGAAAGCTCCATAGGATCCCTCAAAATCCATCTCTTAGATAATAAACTTTTCCTGCATTGGCCGAGTGAAATAAAGTGAAACAAATCAAGGCTTAGAGCCGGATCATTCTCGCACACACACACACGTAAGAGAAGCCCATTCGGGTCTCCCGGGGGAGAAAGTAATCAAGTGGCATTAGAGCCGATTATCTTTCCGACATTATCCCGATGCCGCCGCGAATCCGCCGCAACGGCGATTGATTCCGGCCAAATCTTCTTACATCACGCACCGCATGGTCCTTCGGAAGGACTTTCGGGTCCGTGAGAGAGCGACAATATGGTGCACCCGGAGGATTATGCCGACCCGCGCCGCCTCTCGCCTTGTATTAGATTAATTTTTTCCGCGTGCGCGCGCTGCGGAGAAAAAATAACGCTCTTCGGGCCGGAGACTCATTGAAAATGTATTAAAACCAAACAGCCGGAGCGGGTATGGCAGTAATCTAGCGGGGCCCCGGGGCGCATGCAACTTTGATGAGCGACTCCAACAATGGGGGCACATGCACAATTTGCTGTGTTGACATAGTTTCGCGGGCGAGAGGCGGGAGGCCCGCGGGGCGGCGGAGGCCGTAGGAGGTATAAATTTCCTAACCGCGAATTCGTAATGACCTCTCTCTACTGCGCGCGCGACTTGATTCAACCATTAAAATATCTCACTTAAGCGTTCGAAAAATTATTATGCACTTTTCTGTATCTACCAAACTTTCATTCCATTCTATATCTTATAGTAAGGAACTGTGCGCTATTAAAAGGGAATTTTCTAGACATTATTTCTATATCAAGACTTTGTCATAATATTCCTAAATGGACTGGTATAGCTGGTATTTTCATTCAGTGCATATTTAAGATTCTCATAACGTCGATTTTTTTCGAAACGGTGAAAAAATATTTACACGTACAAGATATCAGAGCACACTCTCCGCTCGAGCACTCGAAGCGAAAATAAAAAAATGGCCGTTTTTATACAATAATCGTAAAACGTATCACGTATATAAAACGGTAACACGTAAGGTCAAAAGCAACGGGCACAATGGCCCTTCCAGATAACGTCATATCCGGGTTTGAACTGTCAAAGTCCGGAAATAGTCCGGGGTGCCGTCGCAGCGCTACCGGCACTTTACTGGTCCGATAAAAAACGCACAATGGCCTTTTTCCCCGTGATTTTCAGGTGAAACGGGATGCTAAAAGAAGATTTTTTTTTCGCGAAAAATATAATATAATAGGTATACAGGGTAAAATCGTAGATCCGAAAGAAATATTGAGAATATTCATTGCACAAATAATTGTTTTTCTACCCTGTATGTATGTTTACAAAAATAATTTATTTATAACGGTAGGTACGCCGGCGAGATTTATTTATTATAGAATTTTAAGAAGGACTCTACCAAGATGTTTACTACTATTAGTAAAATTTCACTAAGTAAACCAACCCCCCAATAAATCCACAGTACTTGACTTTTATTGTTACTACCTGGGTTTCGGATTTATTGCTATAGGGTAGGCTATTCCGATAATTCCTCATCGCTAATTAAAAAATAATGTTCCAACTCAAATTATACCGATCAGACAGATTATCGATTATTCCAGTTAATTTTCTAATACTGGCTTAAAAGTATTAGTTTCCTGTTGCATCGTAATATTCTCGTGAAATTGGAAAAACCTATAAAAATCGTTATAGAGTTTAATAATATGCTCGTTTGAAGCAGACTCAAAAATTACTCCAATAAATCAAAGGAACTTTGAATGAATTAATACATAAAAAAATTAGGTACATATTGCAAGAAGCTTGTGAAAATTAATTGTGTTTCAAAGGTTCTCTTACTGTGTATTAATTAATAGGAGTAGTACATTTTCGAAATTTAGTAATCGATGAAGTATCCTAATACAAACATATTCAGAAGCAAAAGAATCTAACGAAATAAACTGAAGAATAACTTAACAAGAACACTTTCACATAATGAAGTCACGCTAGAGTTAATGCGAATTCGAATAAAAAAAATAACTATAGGTTTCCACTATACAATAAATCAAACTAATAAATTCGCAGTCAATTCAATAGTCGCCTAGTCGCGATTGTCAAAATATTTACATGCCCCAATTACAGAAAAAGATAACGAAATTTCCCTTTCTCTCTCTCTCCAACTTTTCTCTTAAATCGCATGTGTATAGTGTATGTGATATATTTATTTCTTCCACATCACATATGCAGATATAAATAAAAAATAAAGTCTACACACAATGGCGGATAGAAGTCGCTTACCTTCATTAATTAGAGATTTTTTCGAACGCGAAATGATGCGCCCGTATTAATTAATTATTATTGCTCCGCACAGTAAAAATACCCTCTAGGTATAATTAGTAATCGTCGAGTAATTAGTCCGAGCGCACGGCGCAGATGTGCTCGCAAAGGTAGGGGAATTCGGAGGGCGTCGCCGTCGGCAGAGCCATGCGCACGATTGGAGCATTCCAAACATGGCAGGCGGTTCTGTCAATCAAACGTAGGGTTTTTGGTGGGGACCAGTACACGCAGGGCCGACTGCAAACCCCTCACAAAAGAGTGTACAGCTGCAGAGTGCGGAGTGTGCGTCTGTCTCGTGTGTGCTGTTTAGAGTGTAGTGTAAAAATAACACCAGCAAACTGTTCGCTCCGACGGAAGAAGACATGTTGACGATGGAAACCGACCTCAAGGGAGGTAGTTTGCACGGTAACATGCCGCCGCATCATTCGTTACAAAATTACGGTTCGTTGAGCGCGTTAGGGCAAGCGCCGATGCACGGATTATCGCAGCATCCCCATCAGATCCACCACCAGCCGCAGGGGCCGCAAATCCACCACCAGCATCAGCACCAAAGCCAAAACCACCACCAGCAGCCGTCGCACCAGCAACAACAACAAACTATTAACAATAACAATTCGTCGAAATCGCAGAATACCGAACGGGTGAAACGGCCGATGAACGCGTTCATGGTGTGGTCGCGCGGCCAGCGGAGGAAAATGGCGCAAGAAAACCCCAAAATGCACAATTCGGAAATATCTAAAAGACTCGGTGCCGAATGGAAGTTACTCAGTGAATCGGAAAAACGGCCATTCATCGACGAAGCCAAACGGTTGCGAGCCGTCCACATGAAGGAGCATCCCGATTACAAATACCGACCCAGGCGCAAGACAAAAACCCTCCTGAAGAAAGACAAATACCCCTTAGGCGCTTCGACGTTACTACCCACGTCTGACCCGTCGCGGACGGCGCCGAGCTCGGCCCAACAGGCCGCCGCCGCCGCCGCCCGCGAAATGTACCAAATGCCCAACGGCTACATGCCCAACGGTTACATGATGCCCGATCCGAGCGCCTACCAGCAACAGTACCCCGGCACGAATTACCCGCGCTACGACATGGGCCAGATGCAGCACAACTACATGAACGGCGGCTACGGCGGCTACGCGACGACGGTGCCGAACAGCGCCGGCAGCCCGTACGGCATGCACCAGGCCGGCTCGTCGCACAGCCCGTCGGGTTCGAGCATAAAATCGGAGCCGGTCAGTCCGAGTTCGGGCATGCACACGCCGACGCCGGGCGGCGGCGGCGGCGGCATCAAGCGCGAATACGCCGGCCAGCCGCAGCAGGGCGATTTGCGACAGATGATCTCCATGTACCTGCCGACGGACGCCGGGGTGCAGCATATGCAGCACCAGTACGGAGGATCGCCGGATCCGATGGTCCAAGGGCCGTTGGCGCCGCTCACGCACATGTGAGAACCGCTATTCGTGGCGCAGGACATTGACGTGCCACCGCTGTGAAATTTGTGTGTACATATAGTAACTATACAACAACAAAAAACGATATTTTTACTTTTTATTATCATTTTATTTTCTTCGATTTCTTTTTCGACGATGTCAAAAAAGATTCTTCTTCTTCGGCGGCGGCCGTGCGTTGTTATGAAAATTTTGCGAAGGTACCTTGTATACGTTTTACTTCAATTTTTGTACTTCATTTGCTAACTAAAGAGACGGAACTCTTCAAATTACTCAAGGAATTTTCATTTTTTTCTTCTTACTTTTAATACATTAATAGATTATACAATTTTTCTATAAAACTATCGAAAATTAGGAAGAAAATTACATTCCAATTTACCTATCACTGACTGTATTCCAATTCAAAATTATAGAGAATATCGAATTAATCAATTACTTTTTGCAAGACTATATTCTATCCATCAAAATTTACTTAATTATTCTACCAAACTGTCTCTTTTGTTGTAAATGAAGTATAAGCATCAGAAATATCTGTTGATTGCATTTTTTATTTCAATCTAAATTGTCAATTTTATATAAGGAGTAATTTACTGATTCGAGTAATTGGGTAATTGACGAATGCAGTTAAACAAGATTTTTGAGGGGTTTTTAATTAGAATTTGTTGGACAAATTTCTGAGTGTCTTTAGAGACTTTTTCTTTACAACTGATTTACAATTGATTACAACATTTTTGCTATACGTTTAAGTTCATCATTAGAAAAAGTACTTATACTTTTTCGCGATCGTAGATAAAATAATATTAAAAGCCCCCTTGCTTTTTTAAACTAATATTTTCAAGAAATTGAACACAAAATTGGGGTATCTAACATTGATTATCTTCTTGTGCACGGCAATACAAAATGGATGGTTATTAATCAGAAAATAATAAAACTTGTAGAAAATCGAATTGTTTTTTCTTAGTTACAAAACTAATTGAAATTATACGAGGATTAATATAATAAAAACAGAGGTATTTTCTGATATGATAATTATCTTCAATTCGCTCATATTTAAATCTATTTATTCTCAAAATAACCGAAAGGCATTTTTTAAATATTACCTAGTTTAAAGCGAGATGAATTTCCATAATTTCCGATGCAAACTTAAATTTCTATTAATAATTCAATTAAATTCTTCGTTGTTTTCGTCGGAAATTTTGTTGGTTTCTTCTGTTTCTTTTTTGTTGTTTTGGTGTAAATACAAAATGATTTTCGATCGTTTCGAATCGGTTTCGAGAAAACGCGTTTAAAGTCAAAATCCTTGCGACTCTCGGGTATTAGAAATTTATTAGAGAAAATTTTGTTTTTTTTTTCATAAATAAATAAGCCTAAATAATAAATTCAGTTTTAAATATAAATACGATAATTGTTTGTTTGGAAAATAATGATTTTAAATTAATTAATATTTTAACTGGTGTGAGGATGAAAGTATGTTTTAAACTTTAGGTGTTCACTAAATTAAAAAAAAAATGGTTTTAATGAGCATTTTAATTCAACGCTTTGCTCATTTTTTAGTATTTCAAAGGTTTTAGAGAAAAATCAACGAAATTATTTAACAATTCGATAAAAATAAAATACAAACGTATTATTTATTTTACGTTTGGCACAGGAAAAAAATATTTCAACTATTTGCGAAGTTAAATGAGTTTATATATCTAGTAAATAGTTTATTGAACTTGTATTAAATTGCAAAATATTTTATCCATAATTTGCAATGCAGATAAATGTGGGTAAATTTGTGTTGAAATATATTTTTTTAAATTTATTTTGAATGGGAAATAGTTGGAATTGGGGAAACCAATAAAAATAGATGAACACATAAAATTTAATTTATTATAATTAACAAAATATAAATCATTATTTTTCAAACCGGCCTTTTATGTATGTATATCTTTCAATGAATTACAAATTTGGATAAATCAATCGAACTGTGATATATAAAAATTTCTACTTTTCTTCGAAATCGATTCCACCGAACGATATTTTTCACTCTATATCAAATTTAGGAAAATCACTGCATTCCTTTCAAATCGTTACCTGATACACAAAAAACAAAACGGTTGTACCAAAATCACAAAATCTCTGTAAATATGTAAATAGATAATTAAATAATAATAAAAAAATGACTGTTAATCTCGGTTTAATTTTTTTTGTAACTTTTTTTTATACGGATAAACATTTTACCCCAGTGCTTATTTTGTATATTAATACTTTTAATACTTGTGTATTTATTATGTTAAACTTTTATTGATTTTCAATAATAATAATAATAATCGCCAATCTCAAATTGTTTATAGCACAAAACTAGATGTACTAGTGTTGAAAAATTCAATAATTAATGCATTTACTTTTAGAATCTACAGCAACATTTTTATTTTTCATTTTATTATCTTTTTAATAAGCGTTTTACCATAAGCACATGTCATTTTTAATGTTGGAAGAAGTAAGTTAATTATTAAAAACAAATCGAGCTTGTGCAGCAAGCGAGATAAAGGTGCTGTGCTGTATATTCTAAATCGATGCGTTTATATCAGTATTACCTTACAAAATTATACTTTTTGAATAGATTTCTTTTTGAATTTTGACGCCAGTACGTCGAATCATTTTTTTCCGTACGAGTCCGTCTAATCGATGATTTTTGTTACGTATTTGTTTCGTCGAGGCAATTCCGGATTCGTTCGGAAATTTCTGATGAACTGTGATGATAATGATGATGATGAAAATGACAAAAAATTTTTAAATGAAACAAGAAATATCACTGCTTTGTGTATATATTAAAAAAAATAATTTTACGTTTTTTTCTCCGAATGTGTACAGTGTGTTAAAAAGTTATTAGTCAGTGGATCGAAAAATTGTGAATATATGAAATTGACAAGTTTTATTTGTATTTTTATTAATTTACCGAAGTTATTTAATGAACTGTTTTAAGTAGTGGAAAGTACATCGACAACTCGCATTTGCATGTCATCAACGATGCGTAAAACACGTGTCACACGAAGTGCTTTTTACACCCTCCATCGCCCACGAAACCATAAATTCGATTAAAATGTACTTATTAATTAGTGTAAGCGTTTCAGGAATAAATAATACGATGATAATGACGTCACGCCACAAAATATTGTGCGAACTATACGCTTTATTCATATACACTACGTTCAAAAATAACGAAACGTGACGTCATCGAAAATCGTTTATAACCTCGCTTTAATAAGGATAAAAATATCGGGCATTAAGAGGGTGCCAAGTTCACGTTTGAAATTCGAACGTGTCCGATTTGAAAGAGGAAATATTTATCTAGCCTGCCGTTGAAGTGGCCACTCGATAACGGACTACTGGATTTTTAAGACTGGCCGAATACCAGGTACTCGAGAGGCCACTTTTCGCTGTTTACCCGTTCGAGAACGAATAATTACAACTTGTAAAACGTTAACGTTTCCGAGACGCTTTCCAAACTCACCGGTTTTTTTTCCGCGCGCTCCCTCGAGAAACTTTTTCAACTTTAACTTAGCCGAACGCGTTTTAAATTTGAGCTGAAAAAATTCGGTTTTCAAAGCTCTTCAGTAATGTAAAAATTGAGTAGGTACTAAAATTTTGCTACTTCAGTGGTATTTCCTGTTATATGAGATGAGTTTGAACCAACACTTGCTATAGCCTAAAATAATAATTTTATAAATCAATATTGTAAATACTATAACATGAAAAATTCTTGGTACTTATTAGTAAGAGGTTTAGATTTTAGAAAGTTGGATGGTATTCATTCGAAGAAGACGTCGAAATTTACTTGCTTTTGGGTTCTAAAAATTTCTACCTGAAATTTACCTAAACATTTTTCAATCCTGTAATCCATTTAAGTACCTTTTACTTGTACTGTGCGGATTTAGATAATGCCTTCCGGGAACTACCTAAAATTTTTTCCAATGTCCAAATCGAATTCTCATTTCCCTTATAATAAGTTTAACTGAGTAATAAATACACCTCCGGTTGATTAATCGAATTAAACCGTTAACATATCGATAATCCGGTGATAGGAAATTTTTCCCATATGCGTCCGAACCATCACCATCACCATCACCATCGGAATGATTAATTTCGAGAATGGAACAATGAACTTTTTCCGATGCGTTATTTTATACCTGTACATAAACCTTTTTCGGACCGAACCGAAGGTTAATGCAAGGAAAAAATATACACTATAAATACACCAACAACCATTAATACGTCTCTCCTAGTCTTTGAGGAAATTAAGAATCATTACGGTAGGTGTTGAGTGTGGCTAATAGCCAAGCATTCTTAATTTTCGGAAGATTAATAGCTCCGCAAGGTAGAGAGAAGAGAAAAAAACACCTGTTTCGTTAGTTCACATTCGATGGGACTATTAGAGAGATTAACTATCGCCTATACCAAAATGTTTTCGAAACGGTTGCTCTTTTTCCATCACCGGTATAGAAGTTTATTCGAAGATTATTTGAAAAAATCTACCAATAAAGTTTTTACTACTATTCCAAATAGATCTGATAATAAGGAAATATCCCTTGATGCAAGAAACGACCAAGTAAAAATCCAAGCTATTTCCACCATCAATTTAATTTCCATTACTATCGGTGATGTTTGAATGCAAGGAAAATCTTCTGAAGCGCATTCCGAGTCAGTTTTCGCCGGCGAGCAGATGAATTTCCACTCGGATAGGCCGATGTTTAGGTGCGGGAGACCGCTTTCCCCGTGTGCGTAGATTATTTTATATTTTTTGCGGCTTAGAAATACATATTTCCAAGCTCGGCCGAGCGTGCGGCCATCAAGTCACATCACTACTGGAATCGATATTTATGTCTACAATTTTCTTCGCCACGCGGCCGTTTTTCCAGCCATTCCTGCGGTCGAAAATCGCGAATCGATTTTCCAGAGAGCTCGCGAAGCCAGCGAGGACCGTCCAAGGTCGTGTATTCACGCAAAGACTAATACTAATTGATTGTTTCGTTGAGTATTAAAGATTGCAATGCGGCATCAGGATAAGCAGCAGGAAATTTCAACGAGTAGGGTTTCCTTCTCTCTACCTCATAACTCAACTAATTTGTTAAAATTACTAAAAGACCATTTACGGCGCATTTCCCGACACGCTTTCACGTAACGTTTCTAATTACCGAGAGGCGCTAGATGGCTGCACGATCGAGGCCGGCGGAGAGGACGCCTCGACGCCGGGCGTCCTTTTCCTAATGGGGCGTTCGCGTGGCGAATATTCGCCTTTCGAGGAACCGAAAATTGATTTTCCTTACCTTGCCGGGGTTATATGCGACTCGACACTTCGGGGGATTAGAGAGAAGGATTTTAGTTTTCTACGAATTCCAGTTAATCTGCTTTTAGGGATGAGTTCGCTCGCTTCTTCGAAAAACTCGCAATTTGTCTTATCTGAGGTACCCGTACTTTTTCGTCGATTTCGACCTTGTGTCGAACCGGTTCCCGGTTCGGTGCTGGGGTTGGATTTCTATGGGAAACGGCGCCCGTAACGTCGCGGAGAACAGGATTTCGAAACTGGATCTTCGACTAGAAGGGTGGCTTCCTACAGGAAAAAGGGCGGTTTCGATATCGAATTTCGTTTTTATCGCATCACACGTACACACACGGTCATTTCCTACCCCTTAAAAATTTATACCAAACTTGATTTCTATTCACTTTATTTATCTATCTAATTTAAATACTTGTAACTAACTATTTGAAATATAAGGGTAGTTTACTGCAGTTTATCTACTTATAGGATTTAAATTAAAACTAAACACCCAACTATTCACATACTTGTAGATAAATTATTGTCTAAATATTCGAGTCGTTTGAAGCTCACGCACCGTAATTCCTTTATCCTGTCCAATCAAATCAACGTTATTTATATACGAATTAATAGGTCGAATTGGTGTAGCGGTAATAAATTCGCGAATTTCCTATAAAAGCGCAAATAAATTACTAAATTTATTTAAAACTCGCCTACTTGTAGGTGGAAATTCATACATATGTATAAATAAATTGGGGTGGAGATGACGCCAAATCAAAACCGCATTTTGTACTACGTTATTAGCAGTCGATCAGAGCAGGCCCAGTGGGTTCTTCGCACCATCAAGCAAGCGTAGTTCCCCGGAGGTGTAATCACGGCGGGGGCCACCTGCCCGGAACCGGAAGCCGGACCTGGTTTTCTCTCGGTTGACCCGAACTGCCCGTTCGATGGCCATGAGAATTTATATGCGCGCCGCTATTTTTTTTTGATTTGTTGTTAGGTGCTTACCGAAATCAAAATAAAGTTAAAAAATGTACCCGATGCCAAGGAAATGTAGTTAATTTCATCATTTTTAGGTCAAATTTGTATAGGGCGTAAATTAATGTAAGGTTAATTTGATTTTTTAGCTTACACTATTATCTTCTTGTAGTTGAACTATAACTCCTACTACATAGTATGTTCACTATATCTCATGTATAACATCGTATTAATTAATATAGTATAAAAAATATTTTAAATTAAACGTAGTAAAGTCATTATAGTATGTTATACGAGTATAGAGATTGTAGTGAAGTGATGCGATTGTTTCGCAAAGGCCATTTAATAGGATATGGAAAAGCGAATTTGGGCAATCTGCGGCACACGCCATTTCCCTCATCACATCATCCTGAAAATTTAATGTCTTTCGCTCCTGCACGCAATTGCGCTAATGTTCTGCGTTTCGCCGTCGCTACTCCTCTCTCGCTCTGGCGCTCGTTTATTTCCATTTCCATTTCCACGTGCTGGCGCTTTTTTCGCATTTTCGCGAATTACGCTATCGCCCGGAGAGAAGAGAAGCCGCCTTCTCCCTCGAACGGAAAAACTCGCTTTTCCGATTTGGAAAATCTCGCGAAAAAATTTGCATTCGCCTAGAAGGGAAGCAAATTACCATCTAAATGGCTAATGAAGTTTTATTTTATTTCCTTTTTGTTTGCGCAAGAATTTATTTGGAAACGCCCTATTTCTGGAACGCTGTATCTAATACTGATATAAGAAAATTGATTTAATCATTTATTTTTTTCCATGTATCATATAAATTTAGTATGTTTTCAAGTAACAATCTAGCGATTTAACGAAAACTTTTGATTCCTCATATAGTGATATCAACACAGTCATATTTTATTTAATTATATAAAAAAACCTTCATTGTGTTAGTGTAGATTTCAAT